AACGCCTCCGCTACGATAGATACTCCCGACGAGTAGATTTAAAATATAAGACCTAACGATATACCTAAATTTTTAAGCTTAGTATAGAAAGAGATCCCCGCTATACGCGAGTAACTAGATTACGCCTATACTACCGACCCGGAACTACTCGCTAACCTACTTAAAGCTTATAAAGACGCTACTCGCTTCCTCTCGGTCTCTCGTACTAGCCTTAGTACTACTCTTAACGACGCGAGTACCTCTATCGTAGAAAAAGAAGACGAGGTCGGCCGCCTTTAGTACTAGTAAGCTAGGATATCTCGCTCTAATCTCCCGCCTTCTCTCTACTAGCGAGTACTAAGATCTCCTTAGGCGTAGATTCCCTTAATCCGAGTCTACTAGTTACCACAGCCCGGGCGTAAGTAATATAAAGTGCCTATAGTATTGCTTCGCTATCTATAAGCGCTAATTTTCGCTAGAGAATTAGTAATAGTTAGTTTACTACTTTATTTTCGGTCTAGTAATCCTATCTTCTTAACGGACCGTCGGCGGGATTATTCTTCCTAGCCTAGTAGTAAATTTTGAACTTAAAACCTCTAAGGAATATAGCCTATCGTACTTAACGAGGGTTTAGCTATTAGACCGTTTAGATAGTTTTAAGGTTGTTATAGTTAGTATAGACCTAGACGGGCTTTACTAGGCTACTAAAGCAATAACGCTAAGTCCTAAAGTAATAGATAATTGCTAGGAGCTCTTAGTTATATATTTAGTAGTTCCGTTCCGCCTCGATTATCTTCCTCGAAGTAAACGCTACCGAATACTAAATACTATTATCTTAGAGCTAGGAAACAATACCTAATATCCTAAAATCCTAGGCGTCGGTCTCTCGGTAGAGATCCTTTAACAGGTCGAAGTGTTATAGTACTAGCGTAGTCGTAAATCGTTTCTTTAGTAACTCGAAAGCGTCCTACTATCGGTCTCCCTATACCTATAGTATATCCTTTTTAGGAGGTCGGTAATAGGAGCTACTACCTTCTAATACCTATCGATAAAGCGCTAAGAGAAGTTAGTAAATCCTAGAAAGGACTATATTTCCTAGATCGACTTAGGGACTAGCTATTCCGTAATAGTTGCGACCTTTTCTAGGATAGTAGCTATCTCCTATCGGTTTACTCGGAAGCCTAGGAACGTAACCTTAGTAGCGGCGAAAGTATACTTCTTAATACTATAGTATAAGTCGGCGTCCTATAGGCGGTTAAGGACTCTACGTACGGTAGCCTAATAATCTTCTAGGCTATCGCTATCGCTATAGATTAGAATATCGTCTAGGTATACTACGTATATATTATCTAGTAGGCTAGCTAAAGTACGATTTATATACGCTTAGAACGTAGCTAGTACGTTAGCTAGGCTAAAAAGTACTAGTATAATACGATATTTAAAGTGCCTATACCGCGTATAGAACGTAGTCTTCTATTCGTTACCTTCTCGAATATAGATATAGTAGTACGCATTCTTTAGGTCTAACGTAGTAAAGTACTTAGCTCTAACTAGTCGGTCTAAAGTCTCGTCGATTAGAGAAAGTAGGGTTCTATCTTTAATTATAATAGAGTTTAGCGCCCTATAGCTAGTATAGAGGCGTAGGCCCCTATCTTTCTTTAGTATAAATAGAAACGGAGCGCCGGCGGGGCTTATACTATATACGATACGCCTAGTTTTAAGCTACTTAGCTAGATACTCTCTAAGAACTTCTAGCTCTTAAAGAGAGAGGGTATATAGTAGTCCGTAGGGGGGTTCTTTCTCTTTAACTAACTTAATCGTATAATTAGTTTCTCTAAACGAAGGGAGGATACTTCTAGAGTCTTTATCGAATATATCTCGATACGATTCGAGTACGCTAGGTAGGGTTAGCTACGTACCTACTATAATATTAAGGATTCGGAACGCAGGTATACCGCTATTCGCTCCTAGTCCTAGCTAATCTATATAGCAGTTAACTACTCCTTTTTAAATTTTTTCTCTCCCTCTTTAGGCGCTTAAGCGATATACGCTTAATCTATTACGCTATAAAGCCCTATATCTAAGTCTCCGGCCTATTCTAAATATCGATACTAGTAGACTATAAGGTATACCTTCCGAGTAGGATTTCGATCCCGCTCTAGCTATACGAGGACCTTATAGGTTCTCGTTTAACCCTTACTATCGGTTATACTAAGTTCTAGCTTATATATATTGTAGTAGGATTTCTCCTAATCCTTTAATTATTAGAGGTATAGAAGGTCTATATTAGTACGAGGCAAGTCCTACTCTATTACTAGTCGCTACTATAGGAGAGTTACCTAGATCCTAATATTAAGAGTAATATCGATCTATTAGCGGTCTCCTTATAGAGTACGTATCTCGCTAACTATTTCGATTACTTTCTCTAATTATACTAGAATAGGCCCTACTACTTTTAAAGATACTATAATAAAGCCTATACTTTTCCCGAGCGACTAGGAGATTACCTATTAGGGTTGCCCTTCTTTTCTTTATCTTTCTTAGGATAGTCGGGTTAGATATATCCTACTTTATTATAGTAGTAGTATCGGAGCTCCTTATCCTTACCGTTAGCCGCTAGGGCTTAAGGCTTTCTATCTCTAGATCGATCCCTACTTCTATCTTTATCTTTTTCTTTATCTCTATCTTCTCTCCTTAGCTTAGATTTCTCTTTTAGCTTAGACCTTCCCCGATTAGGATTCGCCGGCACTAATACTATACGAGAACGCTAAGGCTTCCTATCCTTCGTAGTAAGGTTCTTTTTAAGCGTAATCGCTAGTTAGTATAGCTCCTTATAGTCCTTTAGAACTACGTTACAATCCGTAACTACGATATAGAGTTCGAGCCGTAAGTAGGAGAAATAATAGAAAAGGAGTTAGTTAGGGATATAGAGTTTAATCTATTTCCCTAGGATCTCTATATAGAGGAGGAAGTTCCTAGAACTCTAGTCCTCTCGCTATTTAGTCTTAGTATACTTCTTATATATATCGAGTATATAGGCGATTAGGTTATCTAATTCGTCTAGTTACTAGTTAGTAAACTATCGCTAGGTATAGTACTCCCGTAGGAGCTCCGGTAGCTTCTCGTTATAGAGCTACTACTTCTACTATAATTCCCTTAAAGTTTCTTTAAGGAACTATATAGCGTAGGTAATCTTAGACTAATCGGAATCGTAGGTATATAGTGCCTAGAGAAGAGCGATTTCGTACGCCACATACTCGCGATATTCCTTTAGGCTCTTACCTTTATATATCGGAGCGTACTTAATAGTTCTCTTAGGAGGTAGTCTATAATCGGTTAAGGAGGCTATTCGCTTACGGCTATCTATACAGTATCCGCCGGCGGTATTCTATAATAGTAGGAAACGCTACGAAGATAGAATAGCTTCGGATTCCTAGATTCTGAACCTCGAGGAATTGCTCTAGCGGCCTATTTCCTTAGTAAGCTTATCGCTATCTGTCTTAAAGCGAGTAAGCTTCTACCTTAGGAGTACGCGCTATTTTGCCTTTACTTCTATAAACTTAGTAGCTAGCTATTTGTCGTCGTCGTCGTCGCTTTCTTCTTTATCTAGTAAGATAGAAGTATCTCTAACAAAGTAGTCTTCTTCGAGTTCTTTAATTCTAGGTATCCCTTTAGAAAGGGCTCTACTTATAGTAATATCCTATAGTTCCCTATTACGAAGTTAGTCTATAGGCGTTTCTTCGCTATCGCTTAGTACTTCTAAGAGTAGAGTCGATATTTCCGAATCGATATTAGGGCTCGCGGATAGTATACTACTATTACTTAGCTATTAGATTATAGATACTTATATAAGCTAATCTCTTTAGAGATATATCGAACCGCTACCTTTTATAGAAAGATATAAAGATTACTATATTAGGATATCGTTAGAAGTAAGGGTATATAAGACGAGTATTAGGTTATATAGTAATATAATAGCCTTTATTTATATATAAGAATAATCTTAGAGAATTATAGAAAGGAGAGAGCGTAGGTACTATTTTATCCCTATTAATAGGGATAAGCGACGTAGCCTTTTTAGGTATATACGACGTAGTCCCTACCGATATAGCGACGTAGCCTACTAGCGGTCCGCTATCGGACCCCGGTCGGTCGGTAAAAGCCTAGCTTATCGTAATTCCTATCGTAGTAGGCCGACGCTATTAGTCTACTACCGAGATTCTTATACTTACGGATTTAAAGTATAATATAACTAGCGGAGGACAACTCTTTAGATTCGAATATATAGTACTATAGTATATCGTAGACTATATCCGCCTTTTAGAAAGAAAATAAAGGAGGTATATTAGAAGATATTTAGGTTATAAGATATATCTAGATTACGCCTAGGTCGAGCTAGCCCGACCTATAGCTAAAACTAGCTAGTACCTAGTAGCTAGCCCTCCTATATAGGAATAGTACTATACTACTATCGAATTAAATAGCTAATACTTAGAGCTTCTAGAGCCGCTAATTCTTAATAAGCTTATCTACTTTAGTACTCGAGTTAGAAGTATTATTATTACTAGATAGAAGCGATCCGGATACTATTTATATAAGGTTTTAAATAAAAGGGTAACTTATAGTTTTTAATCGTATATTATTAAAGATATAGTTATTACTATATAAAGAGTTGTCTCTATTAGAGCCTTACCTAGGTACGATTCTAATATAACTTTAGCGAAAAATGCGTTGTTATTATACTATAGATATATAACTAGTAGCGTATAAGGCTTAATCTATAGGATTTGTAATATTTGTCCTTAGGCCCTTTATAGAAGACTTCTTCTAGCCGCTAAGCTATAAAGAGAATAAAAGTAATAATAACCTATAGTATAAAAAGCGCGTATATAGCGGAAGAAGTTACTACAAAGAGCCTAAGAAGGAGGTAGAGTAATATATAGCCTTTATAGTACCAAAGTTCCAGGTCGAGCTAGAGACGCTCTAGGAGCTCTATTTATTCTAGCTTCGGGTCGAGAGTAATGTGCGCAGCCATTAGGGCCGCAGGGCAAGCGGAAGGGATCACTCTTCTCAATTCTGGGCAGTTTTATCTGGACTCTGATCAAGGAGATGAATATCCGATCCAGGTCTCGTGGGCACTGCATTAGGAGGATGTGCATACAACCGAGCGTAGCGCAGCGCCAATAATGCGAGTTTCCAGCCAGTTCTTGCCTCCCATGTGGCATGCTCATGTGGCTCTTGCAGATATATTGTGGATGGCAATGCTCTTTTTTGGACCGTCACCGAGGTTGCTTGGCGTCGCTCAGCGGCTTCACACTTCACCAGAGGAGGTGTGGTGGTCGCTGTCGGATATCGTTTGAAGCAAGGCAGACTGTACGATGCCCAGGGACGAAGTCTTGATCTGACGCCGCCAAGCGCAACACCAATCGAATGTTATGGTGGCGCAGATCTCTTTCTGGACTCTATGAAAGAGCGAGTCAAACCCACAGTGAGGTCGAGATCAGCGCTGGAGCGGACGTAGAGGCGAATGCAAGGCCTGGATTTTGCAAGCTCGTGACATCTGCTGCGAGAACGACCCAGCTGTAAGAAAGTCCGCCAAAGCCGACTGGGTGGAAGACCTGCGACCACGGCACGGTTGGTTCAGTTCATGCTCTCCAAACGTGCGATTGACCAGCGACGGAACCATCCGACCTGGAACAGCAACCAAGCTTGTGGTGATCGGAACGCATGCTGGTCGTTGTTGGGCTATACCGCAGGCTATGCGAAAAGTGAGCATTGCAGCGTCGCAAACGTGGCGTGCAGTGCGTCGTTAGCGTGCTCCTTATCAATTTAATCTAATCAGATCAGAGCCCTGCTCGTGTCTCCATCCGTGGCGGCTTGTGCCTGACCCTCGCCAATACATGTCTTGAGCACACTGCACACCGCACCACTCTCAATAAATGGGGAGTTCTCCGATACTCTCCGCGACCAAATGTCCCGCGCGATCGTGTCGGGGAAGCCTGTTGTATTCCACAACCTGATGGCATTCCACGATTCTAGCTGTGAGCCAGGGCAGGGCAGGGCTGGGCAGAACACATACCAAGGCTTCACGCCAAGAGACAGATCAATCAGAGCCGAGCGGCCATGCGTCCGGCAGCACCATACGCTGCTCGCCAAACGGGCGAGGATCACCAAAAGTTCACGTCCGCGATGGGTTCGAATTCTCAGTCTTGCCACTGCGCCCACAGTTATGATAGATGCTTCTGGTCTGGACGGCCCGGCTTACGTGGTTGCTGCGCGAGAGAGTAATTCAGCAGCGCATAGAGCCATATCACTTTTCTTGCCGAGGAGATGAAGTCCCTCGATACAGTAACGCAGCCGCTCTCTGGTCTTCGCAGAAGCCACCGCATCCATATCGGCGACTTCATAGACTTCAGAACGCAGTCGGTTGGCCAGGATGGCGCCAGCATACCCATACGCTCGTACGAGTACAACGGTCCATGGCTCGGTGAGTAGTGCGGCCTTGTTTACTGCAGAGTGGAAATCAGGTGACTGCGAGAAGGCCAAAGGCTCTTCGACGCTGCCACTACAGCAGCAACGGCCCAGTTCGGATATTGCGGCGACAGCTGTCTCTCGCAGCGGGCCAGTGAAGTGGATTTCTTGTCTCAAGTGACGATGCGTAGGCATTGTCATGTCAGCATTGTCGAGAGTATCGATGAGGTCCAGTAACATCAGCACAGCCAAATTCCAGTGACCACAGAGGAGAGTATACCATGACTGGATTCGTGCGGGTAAGTCCTCGTGGTTGCCTATGCAATCATCGATGAAAAGTGCATATGTACTATTCCAGTGATTGTACACCTCCATAGCTGCTTCAAGCGACTCTTCAATTTCCTGCGCTGGCGCACGCTGGTAAAACAAGCTTTGCAAATGGCCGAGGCGTCGATACAATAGCACTTTCACAGGCGCAGCATCGGCTAGACAGGAAGCAGCATCGACGTATTCGCAAGGCCAGCGAGCTGTCGTCTTGCGAACATCTCCTACGTACGATTGCTCTCGCAAGAAGTAATCGCCCCAAACGTCCGCATCATCAGAAGTGCTTGCAGAACTTTGCACGGGGTGAGTATCAACAGCTGCGAGCTTCCTCTCGGAACGGCTTACGCTCGTATCGGCATCGCTAATGGTGAAGGATCTGCGGTTCATAGCAGCACTGAGAGTGTCGAACATCACCGCAAGCCAATAAAGCAGGCCGAAAGTTTCCATGTGGTCTGCTGAGAGACCACGCGGCGCCTTTGCCCCATAGACGCCCGGATGTCGTGATCCTTGGAGCCGTCTTTGATGGTCATGGAGCTTGCGCAGAGCAATATCAAGAGTAACAGTGGGGCCATCGATGTCTAGGACGTTGAACAATGACGCAAGCTCATCTTGCTCAGCAGAATCGAGATCTAGCAGAACTTCGGTACTATCAATAGGCCGCTGCGTGAGGGAGAATATAATGCCTGCGAATATGGCTTGGAAGGAGTTGTTGTCGGAAGCAGCGCGCAGTGCTCGGTTGGCCTGGTGCCAAAGATCTTTCTGCGTGTCACGACCAAAACTTTCTTCTTCGAGGAAATGTATCGGGGACGTATGGGTTCCGTGGGCATTGCTAATGTCGCAAGGCGATGTACTGGAGGCGAATCGTTCGGGTTGGTCGTAACGCTGGCCCGTCTGTGCCCATTGCGCAGCAAACGCTAACACTACCATGTTCAGCACCTTGGAGCCTTCCTTGTGATCCAACTTTGACAGCAGGCCTGCCTTGCTGTACTCATTATCCAGAGAACAGACTCGCTTGACCATTCTACTTGCCCATCGGGAGCCCCATGCATCTTTGCTATCGAAGGTGGAGAAGCTGTAAGGACAGTTTCTCTCGGTCAGCCAACAGCTCAAGGCGCCCTCTAGAGAGTCATGGTAGATCTTGAGGAGACTCTGGTTGATGTGCAGCCGATTATAGTCGTCGGCTAAGAATTGTGCACTGAATGGCGAGGGCGGTCGAATGAATGTGTCTCGAATGGACCAGGATTTCCTTTCCAGTTGCTCTTTCTCCGATACAGAGCTTCGGGTGATTGTCGGGGTCAATGGCAGATTCGGGCTCGAGCTTGCACACAGGCCGAAATCAATGCCACTGACAGAGCATTCTGCATCCGCTTTCTGCTCGCTCGCCTGATTTAGGTTCCCGTCGAGGGTCGAACAGGCAAGTATCACGGACTCAGTTGGCGAAAAGAGGCTACGGTCGATCTCGGTTGATGGTCGGGCACATTCTTCAGGTATAGCAGAGTTGTTGGCGCTCGGGATGGAGAGCTCGCAAAGTCTCTCGCGGTCGATGGCTGTACGGCTATGTAAAACTTGCGGGCAATAGCCCTCTGGCGACGCTGACCACAGGGTGTCATTGCTCGAGCACAGGTGTGTGGTGGCGATATGGTCGCGTGGTCTAGCAGAAGACTTCCGCCGCTGGCGATTCGCAGAACGCGCGGGCGGGTTCTGCTCTCGCGCCTTTATCCACTCCACCGTACAGGATTTCTTCCACTTCTTGCAGTTCGAGCATGGCGGCGGAGGAGATGGGTCGCCCGGCTTGTACCGCACATCGCATCGACGTTTGCCCGAGCGGCAGTGATCGCAACTTCGGTTCTGGCGCCGCTTGGAGGGCGCATGGTCGTGGTCGTGGTCGTGGTCATTCTCCCTCGATTCATCCCCAGAGGGCATGCTGTGCTTCGCCTGGCGCGACTCGGGCGGCTGAGTAGGGCAGGCAGAGCAAGACTATGTTAGTCATTCATATGACACTGGCACTTTTGTCCGCGTTCCTTCGATGATGCTCGCGCATGACATGAGCCTTGCCGGTGGCGTGTGAGTCGCAATCGCAACATTCTGCCAGCAACGGACATTTTCAACATCAGCCCAGCGCAGCGCACACGGCAGAGTACGTAGATGTCAGATGCATTGCCTGCGCCGCCCTGGCCATTGCGGGGAAGTGGGGACGGCCTTGCCCACACAGCCGGTGGGACGTCCCGATTGGGATATCACGCACAGCGCAGTGGATTACTTACGTAATACGGCATTGCCGGCGGTTAAATTAGCTTTGTTGATTGCCTATATTCTGTCTATTCTCTCGTCTAAAATATAGTATAAAAAATTCTTTAAGATAAGAAGTTACGCGCCTATTATATAACTAAGCTAACGCGTTATATACCCCCTTAGCTTATATAAAAAGGGGTTTACGTTCTATTTTAGGCAAGGTAATTAATACGTTTTTATATAAAGATAAAAGAAAAATTAATCTTTTTAACTTCTTATATAGTACTTTATTAAACTAGCAAAAAATTAGTTTAAATCTATACTATATATAAGAGAGTCTTATTTTATACCCCGAGTATCCTAAAGGATATCGTTATATAATCTAGACTACGTATATACCTTTATATACGGTCCCTATTACTAGGAACTATTTTCTTCCTATATAGTTAAAGTATTATAAGGAAGTAGTATATAGGGAGTATTAATACGAGTAAATAGTAGTCTTAGTATTTAACAATATCGCCTAAGGAACGAGCGATTCTCGAGATAGGAATAGGCGCCTTATCCTATAGTACTAAGAGTTAGGTAACTCGGGGTTACTAGCGAGGCACCTCTAGGGTGCCTTATAGGTACCTAGTAAGGGTCTCGGCGGTATAGAAGGGTATTTTCTTATAGTATCCCCCCCCCTTAATAGCCTATCCTTAGGTTATATGTTTTTCCCGCGCCGCTACCTCCTCTACTACTTACGCTTTCCCGCGCTACTACTAGGTTAGTATAGCGATACGCGGTCTAGTAGTAGAAATATTGCTACGGAACGTCGATAGTAGGATAGAGGCATCTCTAAGGTGCCTCTATATAGGGCTTACGCCCTAAGAAGAGTAGGGCGCTAGGGAGTAGTCCTATATAGACCTTCGCCCTACTTCTAATAGAAACCTCTAGTATCGACGGCAAGCGCTAAACGACTAAAGAGCTATTCGCTAAGGCGTAGTCGTTACCGTATATATAGGTATCCACTCGGCGGTTATACTTATTAGGCTTAGCCTTAGAACGTACTATATGTTCCTATTACCTTTAAGGTAGAGTTATAGTACCTTTGCGGTACTTACTCCTTTACTTAGGGAACTTTTATATATAGGGTTTGTTTGCTACTAGGAATTAGATAATCGCGTATTTTTCTTCTACTTTCTCCTTCTCCTAATTTCGCCCTCGATATCTACTAAATACTATAGTTTCCCTAGGAAATATAAAGAGTACTTATACGCTAAAGCGTAGAAGTAGTCGAGGTCGGTACGCTTAGTTTTTACTAGGAATAACGATTAATAAGGGTATGTTTATTACGCCGACCCTTTACGTTACCTGCGTTATATACGCTTTACTCGCGACCTCTTAGAGTTACCGCCGAGGTGCCTATAAGGTACTAGAAGCGTCTATATACGAAGTAAGTATAGGTCGCTAGGGTTAAAAGCGCGCGTTTCGTTAAACAACCTTCTTCTTCTTTTTATTAATACTAACTAGTATTAGATCGCCCGCTCGATACTGCTCCGCTCCGATATACTTCTCCTAGTCCCTTAAATACTAAGGCTAATACCTTTTAAGCACTACTATTACCGCTATTATTATAAGAGCTAACTCTCGCCGACCCTTTTATTATAGCTTTAGGTTCCGGTAGTAGTAGCGGTTACAACTTTACTCCTATTAATTAAAGCGGTAGCGGTATGCCGCGTAGTGCTTCGGACAACTCGTTTACGTACGCTTAGAAGACCTTAGGTCGTAGCAGCCCCTTAGAGCACTATAACGATAGCCGCCTCTATATCGATAGCGAGGCTAATACCCCTTCTAAGGACGTCCTATTTAACTTCTATAGAGTAAGTCCGGTTCTCGAACCTCGCTTAGAGCTTTGTACTAGCTACGCTATCTGCCTCGAGTACGTCCGTAGGAGCTAGAATATCGGTACGAATAAGATAACTATCGGTAAGCAGCGCTCTGTACTAGATAGCTACGAATTTAAGGAAGATATAAAGTGCGGCCGATATAGACCTATATAGGGTTAGGGTTGCAAGCCTATAAGTATTACCTACGAGGCGCCTTAGAGGTACCCGCTAATCCGCTATATAGATCCCTCCTATAATATAGCGTATAGCTAATTTTCTCGAGTACCTCCGTCGCCGCGCTAAGGTAAGCATTAATAACTACGGCGCTCTTTATTAAGACACCCTTCGCCGTAAGGCGGATTAGCGCAACTACGCTAATAAGATATAGGCAGGCTATAACCGTATCCGCCTTCGCCTAAAGAACGACAATCTCCTTAACCGCGAACCCTCTAGCTAGGATTAGTCGAATTACGATAACTAGCTAAAGGCTAACTATTAGGCGGCTTAGAAGGCTTTCTCGAAGGGTCGCTTAGTCGATCTAACCGCCGAGGGTTAGAATATAACTATCGATAGGGAGATAGAGTAGTAGTACTTTAAGGCGATTAGTAAGGAGTATCTTAGTACGAAGTTTTAGCGTCTAATCTTCCTTAGCCGTAAAGTCCGCTAAGGGATTTTCGAGAGGCATCGGAGGTACCTATAAGGGGCCTAGGTTAAGCGGCTAGGGTATAGAGTATTGTTTTTATAAATTTTCGAGCGAGAATATACGCGACTCGAGAATACCTTAAGTATGCTTAGCGTATAGGTAGAGATAGGAAGGTTCTACGAACGGGTATACTTTTAATACTATTATCCTAAATAAGAAGAGGATACTTTAGATAGCTAGGAAATTAATAACAGTCGCCCGGTAATATTAATAACTTCTATAAAGTTTATCTACTAGTACTATCTTAATTTGCCCTTAGTCGGAGACTAGGCCGACGAGAAGAAGATACTTTAGTCGTCGGTAGGGTTTTACGAGCCCTCTTAGAGGGCCTCCGAGGTACCTCTATAGTGCTTTAGGTACCGGCGGCGTTTTTAATCTTCTCCTTATACTCTACGAGTGGATTTAGAGAATAAGCTAACTACTCTTCTGTTATCTAATCGTCCTATTTAGGTAAATACCCCTTCTATCTAACCCTAAACTTCTTATTCTTTCCTCTTCCTTTATAAGCGACGATCTCCTCGACCTTATATTCTTCCTCCGATCTATCCTCTTTAATATCGTCGATAGGGGGTAGCTAGTAGCCTTTACGAGCGTTATATCCTTCTAATAGCGATATATAGAATACCGGGTATAAGCGCTTTATCGACGGGGGTAGGTTAAGCTTATAAGCCTAGCTTCCGAAGCGCTCTATAATAGTAAAAGGTCTAAGATATTTATTATCGAGCTTGCGGTAAGGACGCTTCGCACGAATGTTCTTTGCCGATAATAGGACTTAATTACCGATAGCGAAGTACTTGTCCTTCGTTACTCTATCGTAGTAGCGTTATTATAGCTCCTAAGTATACTAGAGCGAGGAGCGAGCTTCTTCGAAGTCTTTTAGTCTATCGGATAGAAACGTATACGCTTCTTCCGCGAGCTTCTTAGTCCTTAGCGGTACTAGCGAGATACTATCGAGGTACTCTAGAGGTAGGTGCTCCCTACTCGATGCGATCTTAATACTATTAGGAAGGTTCGGTTTAATACCGAAGGCAACCTTAATTAGAGATTTGCTACTAAGTCTATTATACGGCTTACTATTATAAGCAAACGTAGCAGTATATAGTAACCGAGCCTAATCGTCTTAGTCCTAATTACAGTAGATACGAAGATAGTTCTTAAGCTGCTAGTTTATACGCTTAGTCTAACTATCGGTCTAAGGATAAAAAGCAGTACTAAGACAGCGTTTAATAGCGAGATAGTAATAGAAAGCACTCTAGTAAGCACTAGTAAAGATTAATCCCCGATTAGAAACTAACTTATTAGGAGCTCCGGTATTATAGACAACCTTATTAAAGAAAAGCTCTACTAGTATAACCGCGTTAATATCCTTTATAATAGGGAAGTAACATACTATTTTAGAAAATCGATCGATAATAACTAAGACGGAATTATATATACGACCTCTAAACCTAATAGAAGGCGGCAACCTAGTAATAAAGTCTATAGAGAGGTACCTCTAGGGTACCTTAGGGACCTCTAGTAGGCGTAGCCGACTATAAGGCTTATAGTATTTAGTTTTCGTTCTTTAATAGATATCGCATTAGGAGACGTATTCGGATACTTCTTTAGTAATCCTAGGCTAATAGTACTTAGTAGCGATAATGTATTAAGTTTATACGGTACTATAGTACCCGGCGATAGGATTATTGTAATTCCGTCGAAGGATCTCTTACTTAAGAGGTATAAAGCTAGGAATATATACTTTTCCGTCGTAACGAAGAAAGTTATTATTATCGAATTCCTAGTATCCTTCTAGCCGAGGGCGCTAAGGTGCCTTTAAGGTACCTAGGAGGGGCTCTATTAGTGCCTTATCCGTACCGCTTCCGGCCGCCTACGTAGCTCCGGTTCGGATGTCTTCTACAAAAGCGTCCTTTTACTAAGCTTCCCGAATAAGGTCTATAAGGGACGCCGGTAGCTCGATAGCGTACGCCGTTTTACTATCTGCTACCGTAGCAATAAGATAGCGAGATATTAAGAGGTTACGGTTCTTAGTACTAGCCGTCGGTCCTACCCTAGTA